GGTACAGAGAAACACAAAGATAAATAAAAAACGTAATGGCGTTGTTACGTTGCCATGGCGACTCCGATTGCAATAAAACCCAGATCAAAAGAAATTTTCATCTTTACATAATACAGTTGTGGTAATCTTTTCCCCATATCTTTACTCATGGCGACGTAGTTAATGCTCAAACTTGGGAGGTATCCCCCCAAAAAAAATCCAGTCGAGCCACCTTAAATATCCAACTACACTTTTCCTGTGCTAGATTACATAAATATTTTTCAGACTACTCTAGTGGGTCAGTTTAAGACAAGTTACTGCCCCCCCTCCCCTACTCTTCTTCAAAAAAGTCCTTTTAAGGTTAGGCGGAGCCTGATATATTAAGTTTCTAATTTCAACGTTATTTTTTAATATTTCTTGTTTATTTCAACTAAATGTCTTACTTATGGTTTTTATGTAGCACTGCCTGTAACATTAGAGCAGTTCATTATTTTTATTTGCTCCTTTTAGGTTTATTATTTTCAATAAATGGAACTAGACCAGGAGTACTTAACATTTACTTGGGAAAACCGGAAATTCTGGTTGGAAAATCAAATGGTTGGCGGAATTCTGTGTGGGAAGCTTCGGAAAATAATTATGGCATGTGATCAGTGATTTGAGGCGATGCAATTTTTCCACTCTTTTTAGTCTGTTCAGCTAATTTGGAAATACTTCGTAGCGGGTCGTTCTCTTAACAAGTCAAATTTGATAGTTTTATGTTCATGCATAAGATTTCCACCTGGATGGTGCTTTGTAAGCACCCCACGACATGTCATACACTTAAGTGGAAAAGCAGGTCATTATTAAAAACAAAAATTATTTTACTCTTCCATTTACAATAGAAATACAGATCCATGGTTTGGAAGATAAAATTTTTCAACTATTTTTCGACTCAGTTTGAGTGTACTGGACAACCTTCATTTTGAAAAAATCTTCCATTTTCAGTAATCTTACTTGGTTCATACATGGAACTTTTAATGAAACCCCTGCTGACTAGAAAGAAATCTTATCACCACTTTGGTTTGGATTGAAAGAAAGGAAACTTGTGAAAGATGCAATAGATTGGCGCAAAAGAGTGTGACATGATTTAAAAAATACACAGGCTGACTACAACATCAGTCATATTCTGATCCAATCGTGATACTCATCTCCTTGCCAATAATGTCTGTTTGGTGGAACCACTTGTTAGTATCAAGGACAACTGCAAAATAATAAAAAAAACATTCAAGTTAACCAACGTTCTTATACATGTACAACACAGTAAAATATTTTACTCAAAATTAATTGTCAGTTTACATTTTTACAAGTGTTCAGTTGTCCGGGGGGGGGGGG